CAATTGGTGTGTGCAACTTGAAAGTTGTTGGGCTTTGTTTATTGAGTTCTTCTCCCAAGGAATTCAAAGTATGTAAGCACGCTGATTTCTGCAGAGCCCCAAATGCCTCTTGTAAGGTAAAGAATCTTGCTCAGGGAAACTGATGCTACAGAGGGACAGAAAGCCTTGTGAGGAAGTGGCCTGATCCGTGCTGCCTCTTCAACAGGCACTGGTGGGTGGGAGGGGATGCGACAAGCCTGTTTTAACTCCTTTCTTTGTCTACTTACCTATGGTGGAATAGTTAAGTGGCTATTTAAATGAGTTTATAAAGTTCAAGAAAAAGAACAATTGCAGGTTGTATGTCGTGGACACAGAAGCTGGTGAGAAATGGCACTAGATGAAGAAGTCCTAATAACCTCCATTTGTGTGTTCATTCATGAATCTTTTTTTTTTCTCATTCACATATATAGGCCAACTACTTCTGGCTAGGAAGGTGGATTGGTGCCGGGGACCAATGATGACCAAGTCAGACATGGTCTGTTGTTAGAAAATCTGTTGGTAGATACAGAATAGCACATGGATAGATCCAGAATAATATATGAACAACAGGGCCAGGCCAGAGGCACAGGGAAAGGTGGGACAGCCATGGGGGTTGAGACCAAAGGACAGTAGACAGAGCAGGAGGAACTTAGAAGCCAGGGCAAAGGTGTTTATGGAAGTGCAATTTGCAAGTAGTCCCGCTGGATTTCTACTCTGTGCCTTCCACTGCCATCCTGTTACCGGAAAAAATTGCAGGGTTCTTGTCTTCGCACAAGAAAGAATTTAGGCATGAGACAGAGAGTAGTGGGAGGTAAAACAGCAAGGTTTATTAGGGAAGGGACATCCATAAGAACGGATAGGCACCTCTCCAGACAGGACCTGAGAGACTGGGGGGGTGGGGGGGAGGAGCCAGGTTACATGGTTGAGTAGAGAGATTACACCTGACCAGGCCAGGCAGGTGGCTCAGCAGAGAGGCAGAGGGCTGAGCGGGCAGTCTGGTTGAGGCCGGGGGTTTTTAAGGAGATGGGTCTCTGTCTTCACACATCTCCTCCTGAAACAAAGGATTTTATGGCTGTAAATACTAAGAAGCTCCTATCTGAGTTTTCCCTTGAAGGTATCAGACAGGAGGAAGCCTAGCTGGTGCCATCCTGGGTTCAGAGGAAGGGTGAGCAGGACCCCCTAGAGAATGGGGATCTGGAGCAGGGTGTTTGAAATGCAGATACTGGGCTGCATCTGGGAGGTTGTGGAAGATTTGTCAGGCAGAAGGGGCGGGGACCCCCACCTGGCAGGTTATCAGGTAGAAGGGGGCAGGGCAGGATGTGAACACTGGGCTGCCCCTGAAGCATTATCGGGATAACTTTAAGATGTAGATGCATATGCTGGATGTAGAAGTCTTCTCCAGAGGCCTTTGTCACACATAAGCTCATACCTAACTTCCTGCCTAACAATCCTAGTGTCAGGATCCTTGTATTTTGCCCCTGCCAACCATCCTTGTACTTTTGCCTTGGCACTTCGAAGAGACCCAGCCTCTCTTGCTGTTCTCTGGACTTCGTCTATACCAATTCAAATATATTGGAGTCACAGAGTTTAGTAACATGGGAATTAGCTGTGATGTCAGACAGCCCTGGGTTAACATCTCATTTTCATTAATTCTGAGCCAATAAGCTAGGGAGAGTTATCCAGCTTTTAAATAGTACCTCATTGGCTTTCAGAGAGGATTTAATGAGATGTTGGCCATAGAATGTTTACCTTTTTGCCTGCACACAGTGCATGCTCCATAATGGCTGTTACTGTTATTATTTTCTGTTTCCAGGAGGGCTTAGACCTTCATCTACTAATGCAGATAAATTAATGTGCATTAATGTGATCAAGGAATATTATATAAATAATCTTGAAAAGGGTACTTTAAAAATAGAGGCAGTGCCTAAACCCACAAAAGCTCTGAGAATGTCAGATGGCAGATCGGGCCAGTTGAAGACACAATTCTACCTTTTGTTTTAAGCTGTGGGCCAGGCAACATCCTAAGTGTTTTGTACGGCTTATGTAATTCAATCTCCATAATAAATCTGAGAAGTAGACCTCTTATTACTTCCTCTCTATAGATGACAGAACTCAGGTATGGTAGATTAACTCTTCAAGTTGCACGGCGGTCACTATCAGCATCTGTTTTCCTATATTCTTCCCAAACGAGGTTTCCAGAGTGAGAGATCTCTTTGAATTATATGCATAGCACCTGCATAGGTGAATACTGTGTGGCGACTGAACAACATGTGAGTCGCAATGGAAGTCTCTTTTTTCTTTGCTGATGGTAACTGCCCTAGTGCCAGGTTCTTCTTGCAACATCTTCTCTGCACTTCTGGGTTCCAGACTCCTGCTTTCCTACCACCCTGGCCTGACTGCTCCTGTCCCCAGCTCCTCCCTAAAGCTACTGCATGGGTGCAAACAATGTTGTCTTTGCCATTGCTTAAGAACTTAAGTAGATTTGAAACCAGCAAATAGAATTTCAAAAACGTTGCCCATGGCTCCAAAACAAAAACAAAACTAAATCTGGAGAAAAAAAAAAAAAAAAAAAAAGCCTGTCTTCCCCCAGGCTCATTCCACCTGAGAGGGAATCTAGGAAGGTGAACAAACAAGGCCACTTCATCCTGACTTCAGGCATAGAGGAGCCAAAGGAACAAAAAGGAACAGAGAGCTGAAATGTCCCTAGGTATAAAGAACTCGGATACGGGAGCTGGTAGCGAAATGAGTGGCATATTTTAGAACCCAGAAGAATTACATAAAATCCTGTCCTTATGTCAAACAACAAAGCTGAAAGTAACTGAAGACTTCAGAGGTCAACAGCAGTAACAATTTCCCTGTTCTTCCAAGCCAGCCAGTGAGTTCAGTGGAAAAAGGGAGGCAGACAGCTCACAGAGATTCATGGAAGGACAAACGGGAGGGAGGGGAGAAAGCGGGAGAGAAAAGGAGTTGCAAAGATGCTCTGTTATTCAACAAGTCTTTGGATGCTGTGTGATACCAATGGTTAAATGCATAGTCCTGCAGCTGACTAACTCGGGTCCTGGGCCTTGGACGACATGTCCCAGTCTGTAAAATGGGACTACTAAAGGCCTATTATTGGTATCCTCCTCTTAGGGGAGTTCGATAAAGCCCTTGATGCACAATCCAATACATATTAGAGCTCTATAGCTGTTACTGTTATTTGTTATATGATTGACTTACTTGACCCTTTTCAAGGCACTTAGGGAGGGGACATTAATGGGAAAGAGAGAAGAACCCAGCTCTGACCCTCAAATCTAGTGGAGGAACCAATGAGTATACCAATTCCGCATTTGATTGCAGTCTGAAGTATCACAAGTTGTAAAGAATTATGGGATTCAATAAAATTGCTCAGGGAACACAAGGCCAAAGAGATACTCACAGGCATCATTGTTCGACAAACTGCCGGACAGCACTACTGGACCTAGAGCCCTGGCTGGATTAACTGCCTTCCTGGGCCAGGAGATCTCGGAGGGCAGAAGGTGCAGAGAGGAGGAGCCTTCCACACACACCGCTCTGCACCTTCCTGACATCCGCTTGCATTAACCAGATTTCTACACGTTCACTCGTTTCTGTTTCTGGAACTCATTTAGGGTGGAGATAATTAAGTGCATGGATTTAGAACGACGAAAGTTGTCTGTTTCGTGTCTCTAATATTAGGTTCCCAAGCAACCACAAGCTGCTCTGGTCAGATATGACTTCACAGCAGGGTGAGTTCCTCCACAGGACTGCGAAACACTTCTCCGTGCTATTCAAATGGTGGAAGAGGCTGCACTAGAAGTGCGTCTTTCCTATGCCAACGTGCTTAGCTATTAGCACAGTAGCAGCCACCTGTATCTTTATTGCGAATCATCAAGTTGTTGTCAAGGTTGTGAAACTCCAGATTTGCGATGGGAATTCCTGTCGAAGGTTCGTGGTGAGCACAGCACCCAGCATAAATTAGAGAAACTTCTGTGTCATCCTCTCTGGAGTGCAGCCCGAAGGGAGACTCTCTCCATCTCATTTTCCTGTGTTCCCAGGGAGCCTGCGCCTATACTTGACACACCTGGAGCTTCAGCTTTCCCAGCGTTTCTAACACCGTGGGAATGAGCGTGACATTTTAAAACTGAGAGAAGGATGGCCCTTCCAGGTGGAAGGGAGACATGCCCAGCCCAACTAAACCTGAACTTGGCCAGCTCCGTCAGTCACCTTCAAATATCACTGCGTATTTCCGAAGGGTTAGGGACAAAAATAATGTCTGTAGGCCCGCGCCGCGGCTCACTAGGCTAATCCTCCACCTTGCGGCGCCGGCACACCGGGTTCTAGTCCCGGTCGGGGCGCCGGATTCTGTCCCGGTTGCCCCTCTTCCAGGCCAGCTCTCTGCTGTGGCCAGGGAGTGCAGTGGAGGATGGCCCAAGTGCTTGGGCCCTGCACCCCATGGGAGACCAGGAAAAGCACCTGGCTCCTGGCTCCTGCCATCGGATCAGCGCGGTGCGCCGGCCGCGGCGGCCATTGGAGGGTGAACCAACGGCAAAGGAAGACCTTTCTCTCTGTCTCTCTCTCTCACTGTCCACTCTGCCTGTCAAAAAAAAAAAAAAAAAAAATGTCTGTGTGATGTCATCACACAGCTGGATTGTGTATCTCAGTTTTTCCCTTAAAGGAATCCCAGAAGGTAAAACAACAGCTCTTTCCTAATTTATCTGGGCTGCTTCGCAGCTATTTTGGAGAACTCGTTTCCAGGGACAAGTTGACTTTATCTTTTAGGGACTAGCAGAGCATAATGGCTAAGGGCAAAATGCTGAAATTGACCTTGGGCTGGGTTCCATTCCTGAACAGACACCTGCTTCGCAGCTGAGTGACTTCAGGCAAGAAGGAAAGCTATGCCAGCCTCCTCTCCTTACCTAGGGTAGAGAGGGAGGTACCACTGCCTGCCCCAAAGGACGTTCTGACTGCAGGGAAACAGCGACTGTAAAGGCGGCAGCATCTCCCTCAGAGCCGGCACAGACACGCTCCGTAAATGGTGGCAATTGTTGTTTTACTATTACAAATGAGGCCCAATCAAACAAAACACACAGGCTGATCTGTAAAGTAATTGGGCAATTTGTTTAAGGCAATAAACGTTTATTTCTGCAGTTCAGCTTGTGCTAATTGGACAAACAAGTGCTTCTTCTTCGTTGGTGAGTGCTCAGCAGAGTTTGCGTAATGAGTTACTAAAAAGGCTTCTTCAGAGGAAAACAAACCCCACTAGGTTCAGGACACCACAGGGATCTGAAGGCATTCTCTTCTCACAAAAGCCCAATTTGAAAAGTCAAGGTGCTATGACAGGTGGACTCTGCACGGGACAGATCGACAGAAGGCGGAGGTGTGCGACTGCCCGGCTCGCCCAAGTCCTCTCGGCTTCCACTTCTCTGGGTAGAAAAGCAGCAGCCACACGGCTGGGAAGGAGGCTGCCTCCTGCTCCAAGTCTGACCCTGCACTGAGAACCACCTGCTAGCCTAGCTGCGCGCTGTGCTGGTTGTGACGAAGGATTGTGAGCACCATTCGGGCACGCCTCTGGTAGCTGCCAACTCGTGAGATCCTTTCCCGATGTGGTTGCTGTGAGGAAGAAAGGCAAAAGCCTAAGAAATGGCCCTTGTGTGGGTAAGAGCTCAGAATGTAGTCACTGGTGAAACAGGGATGGAATTCACTGTCAACCTTTTTCCTCTTGGAACTCTTAAGTGACTGAAGACCCAAAAGACCTTTAGTTTATGTGTTTTAGTTTATGTGATATTTGAAATAATGTACGTTAACTGAGAAGCTTACATGGTCTGTTAATTTATTTAAAAATAATAGCTAAGGCCGGCGCCGTGGCTCAGTAGGCTAATCCTCCACCTTGCGGCGCCGGCACACCGGGTTCTAGTCCCGGTTGGGGTGCCGGATTCTGTCCCGGTTGCCCCTCTTCCAGGCCAGCTCTCTGCTGTGGCCAGGGAGTGCAGTGGAGGATGGCCCAGGTGCTTGGGCCCTGCACCCCATGGGAGACCAGGAAAAGCACCTGGCTCCTGGCTCCTGCCATCGGATCAGCGCGGTGCGCTGGCCGCAGCGCGCCGGCCATGGCGGCCATTGGAGGGTGAACCAACGGCAAAGGAAGACCTTTCTCTCTGTCTCTCTCTCTCACTGTCCACTCTGCCTGTCAAAAAATTAAAAAAAAAAAAATAATAGCTAACCTTTTACATGTCAATATAAATATCATTTTTAATGAAAAAAGAACTGCTTTCTAAAAATAAGCAACAGCAGAAGCATGGTGCTGTGCTGTTTTTTTTTAAATCTTTAATGTCCATCTTAGTAGAAAATATGGAAATGTCACATCTGCTTCTCTGGAAAGCTGCTGCAGGGTCACACATCTGGAAAACTCCACCTTCCCCTTAGCCAATGAGTGCAACAAGGTAAAAAATATCTCAGTGCTATAAAGAAGTTTTGACCTCAGGAACTTCTATAATTTCAAAAATAAGTGACTTAGAGCAACCGTCAACTGTGGATGGCCACCCCGGTGTCTACATAGAGAAAGAGTGAGTCAGGCACAGAGCCTGAGACAAGTGTCACAGTCAGGAACATCATCAGTCTGAGGCCACTGCCCAGCGTCTTCTGGGGGAGTAGGGCTGAACTCCTCCAGGAGGGGGAAGGCAGCAGCAGCCCGGAAGTAGCTTACAGAACTGGGCAAGCATGAACCATGCAAAGGCACTTCAAAAAGTTCATGGAAAAATAGAATTAAACGATCATTTAATTTTGGGCAATTGCTTGCAAATCTCTGCACAGTTTTTCAAAAATACTCATTGCCCAGGAATTTCTTTGAAGCCTTTCATATGCGTGGATTTCAGAATTTTTCTGCACCACACTTCTCACTTAATTACATTGTCCGAGGACTTTTCAAAGCAGCATTGTATTCTTTAAATAAACAGCACAGATTCTATGATGCTGGGAGTGTCCTGCATATCCCAGACCCCTGCTTCTCTGTCTCTTCCTTCTCCACCCGCCATGTCCTCTATCACCCCAGAAGAGCAGGACAGTGCCTCGCGCTCCCTGAATTATCAGACGGTAGGCTAATGTAGCTCCGGCTGCAAGCAGCAGGGCGTGGTGACCCAGGGCATGGGTGTTTCAACCACACAGGCATGGCTGAAAACCTGAAGCTGCCCCTTAGGAGCAATGTGGTCTTGGAAAAGTTACTTGGATTTAGTAAGTCTCAGAGTGTTAATGCATGCAATGAGGTTGTGGGGGGATTCAAAACGGCCATCCCCTGCAGCTCCTTCCACCGTAGGTGTCATTTCCCCAGGCCTTGAGTTTCTCCGTCTTCAAGGCTGATGTGATTCAAGTGAGCACAGTTTCAGGAGACCCCCAAACTTGCCCTCCTGGTGCGCTGAGCCCTGAACAAGTCTGAAGCAGACTCGCACACAGAGGGAGCCCAAGCCATCTCTGCCCTGCTCCAGAGAACCCAGCCTGCTCAGCCCCAGACACAGCCCCCCAGACAGCCCAGCAGCATTGTACCGTCAGTTCACAGAACTGCAGGACACAGCCACGCTACAGCGGTCACCCTGCTCTGCTTAGACCTCTCACTGGCTTTACCACGGAGCATCTCCTGCCCCAGGAAATGCGTCCGCTAGACCAGAGCTGCAAAAAGCTGACACGGGCTTCACTAAACTCAAACCGGCTGTGAGTTCTCAAAACAGGATCACTGTGGAAGAGGGAAAACAATATTATGTCATTCTGGGTGGGTCTAGAACAGGGTTTTATTATTTTTTTGACAATATTTTCCCCCAGGATCATGTGTGATGAAAACACAGTTCAAGGAGATAACAGGCAGGTAAGGTTAATGTAATACGCCCACCAAAAGGGGAACCCCTGAGGGGCTGCGGGTTCTGAGAATTAAAAATCTTTTCACACTATTTCAGAGCTATTCATTAGGAAGAAAAACGGGAGGTAGGAGCAAAACTCTTGTAAAAATATGAAATTCATTAAGTGATGGTGCAATCTTTTCCTCATGTCATAATTATTTGACCTAAAATGTATTTTAAGTGACCAAGAAGTAACACATCTCTTTTCCTTGCTTAAATGCCTGTTATTCCCACAACTAAAATAACTTCCCTACCCTGGTGGCCAAGAGATCCTGATGCTGCCAGGAAAATAATTGTCCTGTACATCATTCAAGAACTCTCTGAAAAAAAAAAGCCCATGTGAAATCATTCAGCAGGCTGAACAGCAAAAAATGTCAGCCTTGGAGAATTTAATCAAGAAGGTATTTCCTCCTGCAAGACTTTCGACAGCCAGCACACGGCAATGCACCCGGACACATGTGTACTGCATGTGTCTTCTGTGCACACGGTGACACATCAACACAGGTCCTAGAGGCCTTTCTGTTGCTCTGCAGACAAGCGAATGATCAGTCCTTGAATGGGCAAGAGCTAGGGTTCAATCAGGCAAGTAGGGGCTACTACTACTCCTTGGAGAGAACAAGCGAACATACAAAGAACACACGTCTCGCTTTTCTAGGAACGGAAGGTAAGCAGGACTCTAAGTTATTTTACAGTCTCTAAAGAGGACAGACACCCCTCACCCACAGCCTGGACATCTCCATCTGAGCACAGAGATCCTGGCTGGATCCACTCAGGTATGCAGAGATCCACACCTGTGGTCACGTCCATGTCCACAGACCTCGGGGCCTGCATGCACTCTCGCCTGGCGTGCTTGCAGCTTCTTTCACCAGGTATCAAAGAGCACAGTTACTGACCCTGGAACAAGTCATCACTTAACCCCGAATTGGACACGTTTTTTATTATATTAACAATCAGCAAAACACTACAAAACCACTGAGACAGAGGTAAAGTTAAGAAAACAGTTGAGTTTCAATAGTTATCATAATGTTCCATGCTCTGTAAAACTCAGCTTCAGGAGCAAGCTTTTGACTCACCAAGATCAATTTTCTAGACATTTCTGTAATTTTGATACTCTGTGAAATTAAATACCTCATAGTCGGCTGGTATAAAAACCTATACAAAGCCAAACAAGAAAAAACAATTCAAAACTTGATTTTTTAAGGAATAGTGCTTTAGCAAAGAGACACTAGGGGAAATAAACAAAAGCATGGCACAATGCATGCATTTGAGAGAATGAAAGGAGAGGATGGAACTGAAAGATGTAAATTAGACTGTTCTAAGTGTTCAGAAACACCACCCTGTGATAAGACAAAGTGCTTTGTTCTCTGCCCACAGCCACCATCCTCTTTTGACGGAATGAGAACTTAAGGATTGCAACTAGTGTCCCTTTTTTTTTTTTTTTGCCATTTGCTTTTCAGAAGTCAGCTTAAAAATATAACTAGTTCAATTTTAAGATTCTCTGCTTAAAATCCTTAATGATGTTGTGGTGCAGCAGGTTAAACCACCACCTGTGATGCCAGCATCCTATTTGGGCACCCAGTTGAGTTCTGGTTGCTACACCTCTGATCCAGCTCCCTGCTGATAGGCACGGGGAAGCAATGGAGGATGGTCCAAGTGCTGTTGACCTGCCTCCAACGTGGCAGACCCTGACAGGGTGCTAGGCTCTTGGCTCCGGTGTGACCCAGCCCTGGCCATTGCACCCATCTGGGCGGGGGTAGGGGTGGGGGTGGGGGAAGTGAACTAGTGGATGAAAGATTCTCTCTCTTTTTCTATCTCCCTCTAACTCTGCCTTTCAAATAAAATAAATCCATCTTATAAACCCTCCTTCATGGCTTCACATTGTTCTTAGGATAATGATTCAGATTCTTTGGCCTCTAAGAAATGACCTGACGCTTTTCCACCCTTCAAGTTCATTGCAAACCACTCTGGACCATACTCAGTATGTCCCAGTCACACAGGTCTCTTGTTCCTGCTTGGAATCATCAGACTGCATCCTTCTGTAGTTTACTGCTTAATGTTCCTCTTCCCACTGCCCAGAGTGACCTTTCCTTGGCTCTCAGCATGGTGTCTAATCCTTCAAACCTAGTGCAACATCACCTTCCCAAACGAGGCTCTCTGAGCACCTTAATGTAAGCAGTATCCTCTGCCCCACCTTTCCCTCTGTTACCCCACGGCGTGGCTTACCTCCCTGACTCTTACCAAGGTCTGAAGTTATTACGTCTAAGTTCACTTGTCCGTGGGCTATCTCTGCTGCAATGAGGAGAGGGTTTTGAAGTGACCCCTGACTTGCTCATTCACTTCTGGGTGCTGTGTGCCCAAACAGCACCTCACTTTGCTTTCTGTGGTATCTATAGCAACTGACTGGAGCAGGGCAGGAGTGGAGTAGGAAGAACATTGAAGACACTGTTCCATATGGGGCCTCCAACCAAAGTGGGGTCCACAGGGTGGAGAAATGTGAATGGATGAGGATGATCTTGAGGAGCTAGAATCAGCGAGACCTGATAATTATGTAGGAGGGATTTTAGGGTTGGGATTATGTTTCCCTCTTCATGGTGCTTCTCTCAACAGGTTCCATCTCCTCCAAGTTTGTAACTATGATGGATAATTTTAGTATTCAGGGAAAGAAACTGACCACAGATGATTGGTCCATTTCTGGTTTCTCAAGGTAGTCCTGGGCCATTCTCCCAGAAT